TATAGGGGGTGTATAGTGCCTTATAGGGAGGTATAGAGCTTTATGGGGGTGTATGGTGCTGTATAGGGGTGTATATTACTGCATAGGGCTGTCTAGTGCTGTATAGGGGTGTCTAGTGCTGTGTAGGGGTGTATAGTGCTGTACAGGGGTGAATAGTGCTGTGTAGGGGTGTATAGTGCTGTATAGTGCTGTATAGTGGTGTATACTGCTGTATAGGGGTGTAGTGCTGTATTTTGGTTTATAGTGCTGTATAGGGGTGTATACTGCTGTATAGTGGGGTATAGTGTTGTATAGGGGTGTATAGTGCTGTATAGGGGTTTATAGTGCTATATAGGGGTGTAAACTGCTGTATAGGGATGTATAGTAGTGTATATGGGTGTATAGTGCTGTGTAGGGGTGTATAGTGCTGTATAGTGCTGTTTAGGGGTGTATAGTGCTGTATAGGGGTGTATAGTGCTGTATAGGGGTGTATACTGCTGTATGGGGGTGTATAGTGCTTTGTAGAGTTGTATAGTGCTATATAGGGGTGTATAGTACTGTATAGCGGTGTATAGTACTGTATGAGGATGTATGGTGCTGTTTAGGGGTGTATTGGTCGGATAATATACTTTGTGCTGATACTTGAAGTTGACCCTCACTAGATGTTATTTAGATTTCTCCTTAGAAAACAGAGGAAAACAACATTTCATTTCTCAGCTGACAGTCAACATTTTGATCAATTCTCAGCTATCAGGTGAAAACCTCATCCATACTCTCATTTGACAGTCGTCAAGGTGTGAATGAGACTGAGACTCCCAAGGACCCTAGGCTGGAACGCAACTCAATCCGCCCTAGGAAAAAAGATGGCGATTGGTACATGTACCCATAATTCGTAGCGCACGGAAACTTAAACAACGCTCATAAAATCGTACGGGAATGTTCTAGAAGCTTCAAACCCAGCGTACACAATGTCGATAGCACGATAGCACATGGACATGCACTGTAAAAATATGGCTTTCCTTGTACTTTACGGGCTGCATTAGGCTCGCATGGTATTGTGGTAAAATATGCAGCCGCCATCTTTTTTCCTCCGGCAGATTTTGTCTCAGTCTACCAACCGCAGAAACTCTGATTAGCTAACACGTGCTCAAACATGGTGGGCCAGCATTTCATTTGGAAAATTTCAGTAATATACATAATCTTTCCTGAATGCTCCTTCTTTCCCTCCCCCCGCTCCCCTCCCCCTACGATGGACAGTCTATCTGACAACTCAGTGGACCTCCGGACTTCTTGCTTTCCATGTTCCGACCCAGGAAGATCCGTGAGGCAGGGGAAAAGAAAGAAAGAAAAAAGGAAAGAAATAGATAGAAAGATAGAAAGAAAGAAAGAAAGAAAGAAAGAAAGAAAGAAAGAAACTTAGCGGAGTGTGTAGATTAGAATATGCAATATTTGGCTGTTTGTTCCATGTTTTTATTATTATTACAACGCAACTACTGCGCCATTGTTTTACTCTCGTTTTGAATTCCAACCCACTTTCCAATAATATTAGGGAAGCCGTTACTTATTTACATTTTTTAGCTGAAGAAGGTTGTAGCAGCAACCGAATCGTCTAGTAATAGTTTTTGAGCCGGTCTCAACATATCTTTCATCAAAAAATGTTCATGACGTCATTTATGCATCTGTCCTCCCACAGATCATAAGTAAGAACAAATCAAAATGTGACAATGAGTTGAAAAATGATATAACATCGCAAACTCATAGAAATCTCGTGCTCATATACTTAAAGATGCGGTACCGCTAATCGTTTTGTCGCCTGCTTTTGCTTTTAGAAAAAGAAAAAAAAAGAGTAATAGTTATAACCCCAACTAAGACACATTTCCCGATTGGAGGACAATGTGTCACGTGTGATGGGTCAAAGCCTCATTAACTCCCCAGGAAACAACGACTTGGACTTTAGACTCGCACTTGATGAGGCCGTGCACCTTGAAACGGCGGCAACTTTGTGCGCCAGCTCGCGCTAGTCGGCGTCATCAAAAAAAAAAAAAATCTTATCGCAGTTTGTTATTAAATTTTTATTGAGTTGGAGGGAATATAAACCCTGGCTCTGGGAACATCGAGGGGCGAGAGGAAACACAACTCGATGTTTCTAATGTGAAGAAACCCTCAAAAACATTCCCTGCGACAACTGTCAAATATGCCTTGTGCTCATTGGCTGATTTTTACAGCACATTGATGACGCCATCGCACGCGGTCAGTCTTGAAAAATTTTGCCAGCAGCGCCGCTGTTTAGTGTTGTCAGTGAGTTCCCGATTTTTGTGACAATGAATTGCACCTAAACGGCAGTTCTTTAAAGAGAAAATTATCAAATTCGGTTAAGATAACTCCTAACTTACATTGAATTCAACTATAAGGGGAAAAACACTTATTCAGAGTCAAATGTTGACGTCGAATTCGATGACTGAATGGACGCGAGTGTTTTCCCGTGTTCAAGCAAGCTAGTGCACTGGACACGGTAATAATTCAGCGGGTTTTCAATAATTTTCGAACGGAAAGAAGGTTAGTCATAGTAATTGCTTTTCTGCCTTTTAATTTTGAGTTATTATTTGTAGTTTGAGGTCAGTATAAGCTTAAACATCATCAATTTTTTTTTCCATGAAATGGCGCGAACTTGTAGTTCGCAGAAAAAAACCATGGATAATTGTATGGGAAATTAAAACGCGACTGGACGCTTTTTAGCACAGCTACATCCCTCAAATTTGGTCAATGCAATCCCTTGTCTAGTATCTTAACACTGCTATTCATAAATTTTTCAGATTCAATTTTTAAGAAAGTCACTTGCCATCGGATTACCATACAAACATTGTAATTCCTGACACTGTTTTGCCTACCCGTTAAAATGGCTTCCAAACTGCTGTAACGTCTATCACGACTTCAGAAAACAATTTATCCGAAGCTTATGAATCTATTCAAAGCTCTTCGAATTCTGCCTGCCTTGTTATTCGTTGACCGCTTTAATAGCATCGTTTTTTTGGCGGCGACAATGTTATCCTTCGTTTCCTTGAAACGTTTCCTCTCACTCTTTCTATGTGTAGTCGATCCGCTTTCTCCAGTTCAACTTGTAGTGGCTCTTTTTCTTGCACCTTGGTTGTGTTGCGCTCATTGGAGTTTTGTTTTAAGCTAAGCCTGAGCCAGTGCTTTCCCAATCGAGAACAAGAACTTCAGCACTATTTTTTTGTTTGCCCTGATAATGAGCAAAATTTCTTCCCCCGACATGTTGTTTCTTGCACTTTTTGGATGTGCTGGTGTGTTCATTTGAAGAAACAGGCCTGTTCTGGGTAGCATTCGCAGCGGTGGTGTTTTTGTCATCGAAATTAGCGCCAGAAACACGCTCTTTAGGCTGATGTTCATGGCTGTTTTCAGCGTTTTCTTGTCCAGTTTGCTGTCTCGGAACAATGTTTCGTGATAAAAATAGTCTCTGATGGAATTCTTCTGCTTCTTGTAAACTTTTTCTTAATAACAACTCAATAAATGCAACTCGAAACTGTCTCTTCTTCACATTGTAAATAATTGTGTTTAAAACTGAATTGATTAACACCGGCACAAGACCAAGATGACGAACTAATGTTTTAACATTTGGCGAAGATGTTTCTCTAAAAACATCCCATGTAAGAAACATGGAAAACGATGGCAAAGAGAAACACAGAAAAATTGTCAGTATTATTATCCTCGTTAGTGTTAAGGCTTTCTTTTCCTGTTTGAATTTTCTTCTGGCTTCCACGGAAACTTGCTGTGAAAGAATACGTTTTTCGTGTCGACGGGCCTCCTTATAAACAAAAATTTGAAGCACGACAATTGAAAAAATGATTGTTGTAAAGCTGATAAATATTGCGGTTGTTAAATACGAAATAACGATAAAGAATACGATAGCTGCAATCCACACCACAGCAGAGGAAATTATGAGGCGAGCTTTAGTGACGACTGTAGCGTGAGTGAAGGTATGTTTAATGGCAAAATATCGCTCTCCGCTGATTAAAAGTAAGTGGGAAACTGTTGTAAACGTTAATATCATAAAGCAAAGCGTAAAGGCTAACTCAATGTCACAAAATTCGTGAAAACCTTTCCCTTGTAAAAGGAAAATAGTCTTGGCTATGTGAAGGGGTTGCAGAACAAGCCCAACCATCAGATCGGTAAGCGCCAAACAAGCCAACAGAATGTTAGAGTGTGTTTGAAGTCGTCGTTTGGTTTTCACGGCGATCATAACCAAGGCGTTAAAAAAAATGGTAAAAGGACAAGCGACCAAGTTAAGAAAAGCTGCTGCGACAAGCAAGCCATCAGACAAATCGGTAGAAGAATACTGCAAAGAAACAGTTTTGAGGAAAAAGCTTGGACATTCACTTTCATTGTCAATCCGTGGAGACCGAGAGAAATTCATCCTTATTCGTTTCGGTGAACGAGGTGCTGCGGTTCGTAGCTGTAACCTCTTTTCGTTCTTTGTTCTCTTATAAATTTGAAGCAAAGAAAGTTAAAGTTGTGCAAATTTGACAGTTACAGTTACAGTTACAAGGTGCACGCAAATGGGCAGAAAATAGAGACCTAATAATGGAAAAACAAATGGCTTCTTCACGGAATTTACCTGGCAATCAGCGCATTGGTCGCATTGTTTATGTAGCGGAAATCTGTGGAGAGAAGGATTAGAGTTGACGCAAAGGCAAACAATGGGCATTAAAAGATCTTAAAACTGCTTGTTTTCTTGCTTATCCGACAAGATATATTTGTGTACACTAAACCAGTGGATTAATATTTTTGCGCATACTGATTGGCTACTTAAACTCGGGATAATGTGTGCAATCTACCTCCTAGACTTCATAAGGAAAATGGTTTATTGTTTCTTAGCGATATGACTAAAGAAATTTAGGTTGTCTTTCAGGCAGCTGCCCTTTCTATTGAAACGCATAGTCAGCTTTCTATTATTTACAAGGACGGTTTTATTATTTTGAGTCGTGAAATTATTGGCGAAAATCGACACAAAACGGTTTCTTTACAATACAGTTTACCGAACTTAAGTATTATTGTTTAAAGATCAGCGAAATTAAAACAGAGAAGTTTTATAAATTAAAATGTCTTACAGCATGGTTTCTAATCAAGAAAAGTTTACGACTCATTTTGAGGAGGCGTCACCGGAGAAACTTTACAATTAAGACCCTCTCTACTCTGAACCGTTTGATGCAGCAAAGCTTAGTGACTTGGTGACTTGCGACCGACTCACTTTTAGATAGTATAAAGCACCACTAAACTTTCCTAACGAACCGAAACTTCAAAAGATGCTCATTGATTGTTTACATTAGATCCGCCACTACATTGTTTATGTTAGTTCTCGCGTGCACATTCAGCTGAAAATGGAAACCCCAGCTTGGCCAACTGATACTCTTTCTGCGCATACTTGCACGAAATTTACAACTGGAGAAGAGCAACAGCTCAACACAAACTAGACTTTCTGCTACGATAACAATCTCAGCCTCATTTTCTTGGGTGGTAAAAGGTTTGAGGTTGTGCTCGCAATTATAATTTAAACTATTTTGTGTTGTAATAACAGGAATTTGCTGGCTCTGTCACGCAATATTCGCGTCTTATCTTGGCGGTGAAATTACCGAACCGATTCAGTTCGATTTGGTTTCATTTGTGTTAGCAGACCGGTCATCCGACTAGTCGTGCCAATTAACAATTTCCACACAAGAGCTAGCCTGCGAACAGGCTACCGGCGAGGACGGAAAAAAATTCGGCGAGCAAAGCGAGCCGACGAGCGCGAAACTGAAGAACTCGGACGAGCCTGTTCGCAGGCTACACAAGCGCTTTGTTACACTTACACATGAACAGACCATCATTTGTAGGCAGTTATATGCAGGTCACGTGGTGGGCTCTCGGAAAAAAATGCATCGAATTATAATTACAGCTATATCATAACTGATATCACATCGATCGGTTAAAGCAACATTTCCATAGAGGGTGACATCAACTGCTTCCTTTAGTTGAAAATGTTGCCCTTCTTGAATGGGTAAAGTGACTTAAAAGTTTTTAGCGCCTCCTATTAAAAGACTTTGGTCAAATCAAACTTAATTGAGTTCAGAACTTACTTGTCTTATTTGGCTGAACATTTCGGGAGGTGAAGCGTCAGGGATTTATTAACTTGCTGTAAGGAGTCTCTTAGAGGAGCTTAGATGATCAATTTCCTCATTTATGTCTTTTTGCTCCTTGTCATAATTACAGTCTTTCCGCAACTTATGTCATTGGTCACTCAAACTAATCTTAAAAGTTGGAATTCTTTTAACTAATGTAGACGGTCAGAATGACCTCTCAGTTAAGGTTACTTTAACTGTTTCATTTAGTTGAAATTTTTAGAATGGTCAAAACGACAATTAAAATTAGTTACGACTATTTTAAATAGTTATTTTAACTAGTCAGTTTTTACAGTGTAAACAAAATCATGCAACTCTAAACTGTCCACTAGTTTATTTACACATTTAGACAGTGTGGCCATAGTGGAGCACTTCTGTATTGGTACTTCACCGAAGTACCAATATGCCAAGTGACCACGTTGTCGTATACAATAACAGTTCTCAATCTCTGTAAATGGTGGTTTTAAGAATTCGGAGCTCAGTAAATTTCTGCCTCTAAACCCTTCGATCTTAGAGAAAATATACATAAATATATGTCAATAATCAAACATCTTGGTGCCTAATGATTTTTTTCCCACTGCATTAATTCTCCAGCTAACTCCATAGAATGTTGTTCTTTTAAAACCAGGCAGCAAGAGGACATCCGGATTTGAGGTCTACACTTGACACCATAGAAGTGAAGTCCTTAGCTGTAAAGTTGCTGCTACCTTGCATTATAATCTTGGTAGTGGTATTATGGCAATTCCAAATAGAGCTCAAGCCTAATGTACTGAAAACAACCATGAAAAAAGCACGGAGGGAAAATACGACTTACACATCCCAAAACAAAGCACAATTTGAAAAACCTACCATGAAAGAAGTACAGAGTGGAACAGCGAGTAAAACATCGCAGAATAACACGAAGTCTTGGCTCATCGTTTACTATTCGACGTTTTTTGGGGCACGCCTCAATCTTCACGAGAAGTGGAGCAAAGGGGAGTGTCCCGTATCATGTGAGATAACAAGTGATCTATCTCGAGCAAGTGAAGCGGATGGCATTGTTATCCATGGTAGGGACGCACAAATGACTCCTCCTGTGAAATCTGTGCCGTGGATTCTACAAATACAAGAAAATCCGGTGTACACCCTGCCATTAAGGAACTCCAACTTCATGTCCAAATTCAATTTGCTGAAAAGCTATCGCTTGGATTCGGATTTTCCTAATCCTACTGTTCTGTTGCCGAAGTTAACACCACCAATTCCTTTCAAGAATAAAACTGGGCTTGTTATGGCAGCATTCTCAAATTGCGAGCCAGTTCGAAAGGAATACATGAGGCAGCTGATGAAGTTTGTGCAGGTTGATTCTTAAGGCTGGTTTCCATATGATCGCAGACGATCGC